TCTTTTGTAAACTTTTACAATTGGAGAGAGAGAAGGGGAAGCTGTCACCATTACTGTATGTGACTTAGGGAGGGGAAGAGGTCCTCCCACATACACTCCTCTCTCAGTACTCTCTTTGTAGTATGGGTGTTTCTCCTTGTGTGCAAGTGGCCATCCTTTTTTACTTGAAAAAAAGTTTGCTTTTTTGTTGTTGCCTAATCAATGTGTTTATTCCACTTCTATTTTTATTTTTTTTCTTCATAATTTTATGTACCCTCTAACATATCATTTATCATTTGCTTCTTTATTATTGTTTTTGCTTTTAACTTTTTTATTTGTCCAGTTGCACTATCTTTTTCAATGTGCAACGTGAGTTAAGCAAATTTCCAGTAAGACATTTTTTATTTTTTTTTCATATTATGTGATGTATTTTTTTTAATATTTTAGCGTACCATTTGCACATTTCTAGTGACACGATTGCTGCAATTATTTTCTTCGTTGTTGGCTTTTGTCGTTGTTTTTGGGCCGTTTTTAGGTCAGCAATTATTTTCACCAGTTTTCTACTTAATCATTAGCTATTGTATTAAATATGTATGTGTGGTGTGTATTATTCAGCATGTATGTATGGAGGAGTTCAAAAACACTGGGTAACTCAGCAACCTTTTTCCATTTTTCATTTTTTTGGGCCTTGTGTTTCTTATTAGTTTTTGTCACGATACCACCCTCTTTTTATTAACTTTTGTTTGGTGTGTGTTAAAAAAAGTTGGTTGTGCCATGCAATGAAAGGGGTTATTTACATGACGGGAGAGGGAGGGGGAGGTAGTTGTATGTTCGATACTAGGCTTTTGCAACTGCAAGTGTCTCCCTAGATGGCAATTGCTTGCCTCCCTCCCGACTGCAACTGGCTTGGGTTTTTGTCGGAGGGCGAAGGAAGAGGGGAGGGCAGTTACATGTCCGACACTAGGCTTGCAATTGCAAGTGTCACACTTTAACTGCATGCCTACACACCCTACTGCAGTCGACCTTTTTTGGTGGGCAACATGAGGGGATAGTTGCATGTCCAACACTAGGGTTGCCATTGCAAGTGTTGTCCTCGGCTGCACTTGCATGCCTACACACGCAACTACAACCGAAACTTTTTTTGGTCGGTGGGCGGCGAGAGAGGGCGGGCAGTTGCATGCCCAACACTAGGCTTGCAATTGCAAGTGTTGTCCTCGGCTGCAATTGCATGCCTACACACTCGGTTGCAACTGATCTTTTGATTTGTCGATGGTCAGTGGGAGATGGGGGGGGGGGGCAGGTGCATGTATGGCATTAAACATGCAGCTCCAAGTGTCGCCTTGTGAGCAATTGCATGTCAACACACCTGATTGCAACTAACGTTTTTGTTTTGTTGGTGGGCAAAGGGATAGGGGGAGCGCGGTTGCATGCCCGACACTAGGCTTGCAACTACAAGTGTCGTCCTTCACTACAACTGCACATCTCTCCTCCCTACTGTAATTGGCGTTGTGTTTTTGCCGGAGCCTGGCAGAAGAGTAGGGGGGCAGTTGCATGCCCGGAAGTAGGCTTGCAACTTCAGGTGTCTCCCTCCACTGCAATTTGCATGCCTCCCTCCCGATTGCAAATGGCCTTCTATTTTTTTGGAGGGCGATGGGAGAGGGGAGCGAAGTTGCAAGTCTGGCGATAGGCTTGCAACTGTAAGTGTCACACTCGACTGTGACTGCATGCCTACACACCCAATTGCGACTAACCTTGTTGTTTTGTTGGTGGGCGACATGAGAGATGTAGTTGCATGTCTGACACTAGGGTTGCAACTGCAAGTGTCGCCCTAGACTGCAATTGCATGCCTACATGCCCAACTGCAACCAACCTTTTTTTGGTCGGTGGGTGGCAAGAAAGGGGGAGGGTAGTTGCATGCCCAACACTAGGCTTGCAACTGCAAGTGTCACCCTCAACTGCAACTGCATGCCTACATACCCGATTGTAACTGATCTTTTGCTTTGTCGATGGTCGATGGTAGACGCGGGGGGAGGGGGTTGTAGGTCTGGCACTAGGCTTGCAACTACAAGTGTCGCCATGTCTACAATTGCATGTCGACACACCTGACTACATTGACATTTTCTTTTTGTTGGTGGATAGCAGGAGAGGGGAGCACTTGCATGCCCAACACTAAGCTTGCAACTGCAAGTGTCGTCCTCATCTGCAATTACATGTCTTCCTCCCGACTGCAACTCGCCTTGTGTTTTTGTTGGAGGTCGATGGGAGAGGAAGGGGTAGTTGCATGCTCAGCACTAGGCTTGCAACTACAAGTGTGGCCCTCGACTGCACACGCAACTCCAAGTGTCGTCCAAGATCACAACTACACGATGTAACATGAAACACAACTATAAAGGATAAAAACGCCTGCAGCTAGCCGCTCCCTACACTTTTATTATTTTTTTCAAATACACATTAAACATTTTTAATATATTTTTTACATTTTTAAAATATATGGCAGTTTTTTAAAATATTATTGAACAATTTACAATTACACAATGAATTTTTTAATACAGAATAAAAATTTAAAATACGGAAACACTTTTTTCTAAAATATCACGACAAATGTAAACAAGTGCTTCAAGAAAAAACACAAACAAAAGAAAAAAAGAAAAGGAAAAAAAGCAAAAACAAACAAAAAACTAGACTCACGAAATCATGCAAAGACCTAACGATACGCTAGTGGTGCGCTTCAAGAAGTAGCGCCCAGAAAAATCACAAGACAATAAAAAATCGGTGGCCAAAAGCACTTGTCATGTACATTTTTGTCTCTATCATGGGCCCATACTTTTTTGTTCAACACCCTTTTCCCTGTGTGTATAAAACAAACAAACAAGGAAATATCCGTGTCCAAATACACAAACAAAGAAAACAAATAAACAAGAGGGAACAAGAAAAGCCTAGAAATCAGGCTGATACAGCCCATCAGACGCCAAGTCAAGAAATGGGCCTAATCTACTTTAGATGATGTCAGCTGAGTGAGACTTCGCGAAGTCTAAGTTGACTGAGACCTAGACAGACCCTTGAATGAATGTGGATGAGTAGATAAATCCTACTCCTTAGTTCTTTTGCTGCATGTGAATCAGTGTGGATCTACAGAAAATACTTGAATGAATGTGAATGTACAAGAAATATTTTCTGACATTTCAGTGACATGGATAACACAAAAGGATGTTGCTTCTTTTACATCCACGTTCATTCTTCACTGATTCAGAGTGCTGGTGTACTGAAAACATGTGCTGATGCCAAGCATGTACTGGTGGTACTCAGAGATAACTGAAATTCATGAGATAACATTCAGACAGCTAGAATTCAGTGACATGACATGTATTACTGGTGGTTAACATCTTCAGTCTTGCTAAATTCTGAGTTGACTAATCCATCAGCTACAATAAACAGGAATTGACATTAATCAATTAACCTCTTGTGTCTTATTACCCTGTCTAATTCTAGCTAGTAAAAAGAAACAATTTGATGCATTTTAGATGGCCTTGTATCTCTGAAGAGGGCGAGGAAGAGTGCTCAAGGATGGAGCCGTTGGAGAGCAAGGGCACACGTCTGCCGGAGGGCCAGCGCACATGGCGATCGGCGCGGGACGAGGCTCCATGGCGGCACAGATTGAACACAATCTGGTTTTTTTCTTCTGAACCCTTACCAAGCTAGCAAGTACGGGCAGGGGGTTTTCAGAAAAAGCTTGGTTTGTGGCTGGTGGGATTCCCACCTCTAATCTATACCATAGGTTCGTGATCCAAAGGCGTACGAGGAAAGTTTTTCAGTTTCCATTGAATGGTCGTTTCCACTCGATACTTCGCCTTATTTGATACACACTTATTGGTTTACCAAAATAAATATAGTTTTACTTGGTAAGTCAATAATATATGAAGCTATTGAGATGGTTTTTAGGAAAAGCTGGTGAAATAGAGGGAAAAGGCAAAATGGGAAGATGAAGGGGGGAAACGTATGTAAAGTTTGACAGAGGACGATCGGACAACATAACATGCGGTCTTTTCTAAGTAGGAAACAGAAAAATATATTCTACTCTCTCCGTTCCTAAATATTTGTCTTTTTAGATATTTTAAATGGACAACCATATACGGATATATATAGATATATTTTAGAGTCTAAATTCATCCATTTTGCTTCGTATGTAGTCATTTGTTGAAATATCTAGAAAGACAAATATTTAGGAACAGAGGGAGTAACATGCATGAGATATAGGAGTACCTCACATAGATCCATCGTCCACCGTTGCTTTAAGATTTGTGTTGTGTTTTCTTGGCTTGAAATTTCATGTTGATTTAGGGTGTTACATTAAATTGTTCTCTTATTTTATCATGATGATGACATTAAATTGTGAACCAGCAAATCCAATCTAGGAATTTTTTTAGGGGTATCCAATCTAGGAAATGCATTGTATTTTGTTGGTACACTACTTGACAGTATGAGACGGAGCTCAGCATTTTGGTGCTCGGGCTTCATGGGGCCCTTTGATTTTTTTTTTCCCACAATGATATATGGATGTATACTACATGTGAAAAAATTTCATGAGAAAATACATTGATCGTGAGCTACGCAAAAAATTGAAAACCGTTGGTCTATATTGAAAAAATATATATAGTGAACAGTGCTAACTGTTTTCCAAATTACCTTTTTTGTGTATAGCTGGCGTGTCAATGCATTTCGTCTTGAAAATTTGCACACATGCAGGATACATCCGTATGATACTGTTTATTGTTTTCAGGATTTTTGAACACATTGAACATTTTTCTTAAAAAAAAACGATCTCCATGAAGCCCTTGCCAAAAAGGAACGATCCCCATGAAGCATGCAGAAGTTTGAATTGTAGCTTGAAAGCTGAAACTACGAACCGGGATCAAAATTTCATTTCAACCACTAAAACACAATGATTTCTAGACGTTTAGTACAAACAAGCTCAACATGTTCCGTCACAATGCATTGCTACGATGCACCATCGATTATCCTCCCTAATTATCTGCCATGACTTTGCTAGAAACCTTTGTCGCCGTTTGCGTCAGATCGCCGTGACCCATCTCCTTCCTCAGCTTGCTGACCCTGTCGATGACCGCCTCCACGGTGACATCCACGGCGTCCCTGAGCGTCTCCAGCTTCGACCGCGGGTCCGCGTACACCAGCCGCGGTATCAGCCCGATCACCGTCTCCGTCAGCCGCTCCGCCACCTCCTGCGGGATCCGCCGGAGCGTCTCCTCCACGCTGCTGGCGTTGCCGCTGCGCACATCCTCCTCGGAGATGAACACGGAGTAGGAGTCGCGGTCGTCGGGGAGGTGCCACCTGTACTGCCTGTACGCGGAGTCCGGGTGGAAGAACACCGGCACGCAGCCGGCGAGGATGGCGTCGAACGCCGACCGCCGCGTGTACGTGTCGCCCGGCGGCTGCAGGCAGAAGCGCGCCCCTTGGAAGACGCGCATGAAGGTGCTGGGCACGAGGCAGTTCTTCTCGCTCTTCCGGCACTGCACCAGGTTGCAGAAGCTGGAGGCGCCGCACTCCCGGATGAGGTGGTGCCGGATGGAGTTCGGGTCTCCGGGACGCTCGCCGCCGGCGAAGGAGAAGAGGTAGTCCCGCTTCATGCCTCGCATCCGCTGCTGCCACTGGAGGACGTCCGCGTCCTTGGCCGGGTGGAAGTAGGTCGGGTACGGCACGGCGAAGTCGAAGTCCGTCCACGGCACCTTCTCCACGAACAGCACCGTCATGTTCCACACCGCCGGCAAACGGAGCAGCTTGTTGCCCCACTCCGAGTCGCTGTCCGTCTGCCGCTGGTGGTCCCACGCCGTCCTCCCGGACATGAAGAAGTGGTCGCGCCCGCCCATGGCGCGCCACTCGGGCCGCCGCGTCAGCCAGTCGACGAGCTCGACCGCCGCGGCGTCCTTGGTCGTGGCGTTGTTGCTCCACAGGTTCCGCACGACGTCAAACCCAGCGTAGAACGGCACGAAGACGGCGGCGGCGCGGGAGGAGTCGTCGGTGAGGCAGTCGTACTGCCGGACGCGGGCGTGGAAGATGACGTCGAGGCCGAAGTGGTCGGTGGCGTACCAGCCCTCGTCGGCGAACACGCCGTCCGCGTTGTCCAGGGGCGCGCCGAGGCCGCCGTTGGCGAGGTACTGGCACATGTCGATCCACGGGTACCAGTGCTTGCAGTCGGCGAGGACGTCGGCGTTGAACCGCGGGGGCAGGTCGTGGACGTACAGGTACCGCCCGCGGCAGGCGTCCTCCCCGGCGACGCCAACGTCGCTGCTCCGGCGCACCTCGCCCCCCGCCGCGGAGGCGATCAGGAGCTTGTTGACCTGCTGCTCCTGGGCGGGGGGGAAGCGCGGCTGGGCGCCGTCCTCGCGGCCGGACGCGGGGGCGGCGGTGACGAGCGACTGGCGCGGCGCGCTGACGGGCGCCGCGCGGTGGCAGTAGACGATGAGGAGCCACGGCGTGGCGGACAGGATGGCGAGCAGGACCAGGCGAGGCAGCCAGCGGGCGCCCCCGCCGTGCGCGGCCGTCGTCTTCTCCATGGTCACCCACGAGTTACGCACGCACGCTGGCTCTCGTGCGTGTCCCCGACGGAGTTGAGGTCTCGGAGTCCACTGTGACTAACTTAAGCGCGGGGAATCTCGAAATGGGAATTCATCCATGTGATTTGCGTATCGCTGGCCGGCATACGTGGTGATCCGAGAGCTCCGAGCTCTGACTTGAGAGATGCTCCACATTAACCATGTCAATGATGGATCGATCGAATCTAGGCGCGAGGAAATGAAGGAGCCGGGGGCCTGCACGTGCACATGCACATGCATGGTGTATTTAACTTCCCAAAAAATAAAATAGAAATGCGAATTGGACCGGGGATCTAATCTGGGAGATGCATTACTGCCAACTTTCGATTCATTGAATCCTTGCATGGAAATCTGCATCCTCGAGCGTGTATAGTGTATATAGAGGGTGCTTGGATACGTTTTAGTCCCATGACTAAAAGTAGTGGAACTAAAACTTGCTAGCCTTACCCATGCTTGGATCCAAATACTAAAGAAACTAAAATCAAGTTATTGAGCATTTATTATCCTCCAAACCCTCCAATCCAGAACTCGCATGAGCATTAAATGATGAGAGAGAGGGCTAATACATATTTTAGTAGGTTTCCTATGACTAAAAAATTTTAGCCTCAAAACTAGTCCTAGCCTCTCTTTAGTCAGGGGTGCTTGGAACTTTAGCCTCTAAAAAGACTATTTTTAATCAAACTAAAAATAGTCCCTTGGATCCAAGCACCCTCATAAAAATCCAGCTAGTGGTTTGGATCGGTAAGAGCATGATTAATAATATAGCTAGCTAATAGTATAACATATTGTCATGTCATTTATAGCCAATTTAATAGTTAACACATACTCCAATCTCACAAAGCTTCTAGGAGCTCGTGCTATAGAGCAAGTATAATAAGGTTGTGAGACTTTAAATATTACTAGTGATGTATACGCTCTTATATTAGTTTACGGAGGGAGTATATGTTTGCTGAGCTAGATGAGAGAGAAGAGGGGAGAGAAGATAAACGGGTTGTAGATTTACAGTCGGGTGTAACATGGGCTCCAAGAAGCTATGTGAAAGTGTATGGTGGGTCGTGTGACAGAAAAGTAGTACTCCTTCCGTCACAGTTTAGAAGTTACAGTTAAATTTGCGCGTGTTTCCACAATAGACAAGGTTTAGGACGCATCGCATTTTTTCTAGTACTTAATTAGTACTCCGATATACTATTTCTGCATGCATAGTATGAATGCTATTTTTTAGCCCATCTCACAACCAATAGATAACCACCTAGGTTCCAAAGAATTTCCAAGCGCGCCTTCTAAACCGTGACGAAGGAAGTACTTTCTTGTAGCCTACTACTGTACATGTTGGCTATTACATTGGTTATAGATGACATGGCAACATATTATAGTCAACAATCAGCTATATTGTTAACCATGCTCTAAGTCTACATCCCGCTTTTCTTTTATCTCCCCTTCTCTCTTCCAACTCGACAATAATATAATATTTAAATCCTTACAGCCTCCTTACATCATCTGAGAGCATGGTTAATAATACAACCAGCTGTTGGCTATAACATGTTACCATATCATTTATAGTTAATGTAATAGCCAACACGTATAATAGTTCGCACTAAAAAATTACTACTTTGTCAACATATGACCCACACCTTTCAATCTTACAAAGCTTCTTGGAGCTCGTGCTACAGCCGGCTATAAGTCTACAGCTCGCTTCTCTTCTCTCTCTTCCAACTCAGCAATAATATACTCCCTCCAGTCATTTTTACTCTGCATATAAGAATTGTCTGAAGTCAAATTTCGTAAAGTTTGACCATATTTATATGAAAAAATATTAACATCTACAATGTTAAATATATACAATATAAAAACTAACGTCATGACGCATCTAATGTTGTTGATTTCACATTTTGAATGTTGGTGTTTTTTTCTTGTAAACTCGGTCAAAGTTTATGAGGTTTGACTTCAGGCAAATCTTATATGCTAACTAAAAAGAATTGAAGGGAGTAATTTTTAAATCCTTACAACCTGCTTGCGTCATCTTCTCATACTTGCTCTAAGTGGTATAGAAATTTTTAGGCTTGCACCGGTACTGTGTGTCCACCGACTCACAAGTCCCAACTGCGTGCGCATTGACCGGCATCGGCCTCCATCGATGCACGGTTCCCGGGGACCGCGCGCACATGGCGCTCCTCGCGCTGCACAACCGGCGTTGACACGGAGCTAGCCAGTAGTACGACCATTCTCTATTCTGTCTGGAGCTCGGGATCTGAGGCCGATCGAGGGGGCGCCATCCACGGCACGCACTGCTAGCAGCGAGTGATTTCTTTGCTCGATCTTTTCTTTTTTCTGAAGTTTTCTTTGCTCGATCTTTGAGAGGCGCGTTGGATCTCTCCGCGTCAGCCCGTTCCTCCCGGCTGCGTAACGTAGTACGGTGGAGGTGCGTGCGGTGCGGTGCATGCGTGCGGTCTTTCCCCCGACCGGACGGCAATGGTGCGTGCATGACTAGCGTGTTTGCTTGCCCCTGCAACGATCTGTGAGGGCAACCCAACCGCGGTGCATCAGAACGGACACAACAAATATCCGCAGACACGTACGGATGTGTTTGTGGACAGCCTGATAGGGGACGACCATCCAACGCGGTGCACCGAGTATATGGGGACGTATACAGATACAGATGTGTGTGTGTGGACAGCTGACAGGAGACGACCATCCGCCTTGTTGGACGTCGTGATGCTGCGCGGAGAGGAGGCGGCTGCGTGTGTTGGCGATCGTCGGGCCGGGCGCCTCCTCCTCCTTCACCAGGCGCCACTGGCTCCCGGACTACCGACGGGGTGGTGATAACCATATCTCCTAGCCACGTCAGGAACGACGCGACGGGGACGCCGGCAGGATGAAGCGATTGTCGCGTCAGGCGCTTCCTCCTCCTTCACCGTGCGCCATTGGCTCCTAGACTACTGGCGGGGCAGCGATAACTATATCTCCTTGCCACGTCAGGAATGGCGCGACGGGGACGCCGGCAGGATGAAGCGATTGTCGTGTCGGGCGCTTCCTCCTCCTTCACCGTGCGCCATTGGCTCCCAGACTACTGGCGGAGGGGGGAGGGGCGAGGGGTGCGATAACCACATCTCCTTGCCGCGTCGGAAACGGCGCAGTGGGGACGCCGACCGGATGAAATGGCCAGCCCGGTTGCACGGTGGCGAGGGTGGTTTCTCCTTGACGCAACGTTCGATTTGGATGTCGTGGTTGAGCAGTGGTTAGGGCATCTCCTCCTTGACGCGGTGTCTGATTTGGACTCTGCGGTTGCGCGACGATGAGAAGAGGAAATAGGGTTTGACGGTGTGCCCTGCCTGCTTTAAATTGCCAGAAACAGGGCACCGACACTGCTTCAATGCGGGCACAGTAGCTGGAGTAGACCTTTCGGTCGCCGCTTCCGCATTGAAGCAGCGCTGGTCAACCGTTCGGTCACGTCAGTCAGCCCGACATTATTGTAGTAGGTGGCAACCCCGTCGTGTCCCATCTGGATTGGGATGAATGCGCGGTGGGAGTTTTGGAGCGAAACGCGCGGTGAGGGCTTTGGGTGGGACTGTGTAGCCAGATGCTAATGTAGCATGCGTCCGGAGGCCCGCAAAGCTCCCCCCCCCTCCCCACCCCTGTTTTCTTACGGATTGTGCGAATTCGAACGTTCAGACCAATCCACGAACATTTGATGCACGATGTTGGATGACTAAAAAAATGTTCAGACATTTAGAAGTATTTTGTTGCACGGTGCTGAAGTTTCCTAACTGCATCCTGATTTGGGCTTTGGACGGCCAAAACTTAAGTATTTGTAAGTTGCTTTAGGACCTGCATCATCAACATGCTTCATGTCGCCTCACCCTCCTCAAGCCGCCACCTTTGCAGGTGAACCATAGCCCTCGGCCACCCCCTAACCCCGCCGCCTTCTTCAACTCTAGTGAGCACCGACAACACCGCATCCACGCCGTCCCCCACTCCATGTCACTCCCGGCTCGGCGTCGCCAAGGACACTGCGGCCCAATTCCAACTCAGGACGTGCGCGCTCTCCGGAAATCAAATATCAAGAGTTGTAAATTCAAGCGATTTACCAGTAACAAAAGCCAAAAATTTAATTAGTTGATGAAATCAATACAGTCAGTCTGAGATTCACAAGGCTGTACCTGAAGCTTTTAAAACAACGAATCGGTCATTTTTCTAATATGACGATTCGTGTATTTTACCAGATACTAGAAGATTATGTGGGTTGATGTAAAAAACAGGGTCTGTCTAGAACACATCTAAATGTGCCATAGTTATTAAACATCTAAATGATCTAATGAAGCATGAATACAGTTTAGTCCCACACACATCTCAAGTATGAAGATCACACCACGCTATACCTTGGCTTACACGATGCTTCTTCTAGCACTGTTATAATCAATTACTGTAGATGACAAATTAGAAGATGTATGTATAATAAATTGAGTGGCACATATCACAAATTATAATATCGACTTGATCTACATTCTGTCAATGGATTCTGCATCTATTTTGGTTGGTACTACGAGTAACTTACTTTCTCCGGAACCTAAACATCTCCATGGCGTGACTGAACGACGAGTCCTCCCCCGCCGCCTCGGCCCGGGCCCTGGCCACTCTGTCGATGATCCCCTTGACGGCGACGTCGAAGGCGTCCTTCACCGTCTCCAGCTTCGACCTTGGGTCCGCGTACACCAGCCTGGGTATCAGCTTTATCACCTCGTCCCGCATCCGCTCCACCGTCTCCGGCGGGATCGCCCGGAGCACGGCCTCGATGCTCACGTTCCGCGACCGCACGCCGTCCTCCGGGATGAACACCGAGTACGTTTCGTGGTGCTCCGGGAGGTGCCACCTGTACTGCAGGTACGCCGACACCGGGTGGAAGAACACCGGGATGCAGCCGGCCACCATGGAGTCGAACGCCGACCGCCGCGTGTAGGAGTCGCCGGTGGGCTGCAGGCAGAAGGTGGCCCTCTGGAACAGCCGCATGATGTTGCCGGGGGTGTGGCACTGGCTGGTGCCGAACGCGCAGCCCAGCTGCCGGCACGCGTCGGAGGCCTCGCACTGCGCGATGATCTGCTGCCGGATGTTGTACGGGTTGTCCGGCCGCGGTGCGCCGACGAACGCTATCAGCGACCGGCGCTCCAGACCGCGCACCCTTTCCTGCCACCGGCGCACGTCGGCGTCGGACCTCGGGTGGAAGTAGGTCGGGTACGGCACAGCGTACTCCCGGCTATGGGGCACCCGTGACACCTCCAGCACCAGCACCGACATCTCCCGCCCGCCCGGCATGTTGAGCAGGTTGGTGCCCCAGCTCGGGTTCATGTTGTTGCTCCGCCGGAAGTCAAACCCCGTCCTGCCGGCGACGAGGAAGTGGTCTCTCCCGCCCGCGCGCGCCCACTCCGGCCGGCGCATGAGCCAGTCCGTGAGGTCGACCGACGCGGCGTCCCTGGTGGCGTTGTCGTAGCCCCAGTGGTAGCGCACGAAGTCGAAGCCGGCGTAGAAGGGGACGAAGACGGCGTTGGCGAGGGCGGAGTGGGTCGTCAGACACTCGTACTGCCACATCCGGTTGTGGAAGATGGCGTCGAGCGCGAACTGGTGGGTGCCGTACCAGCCGTTGTCGCCGGTGAAGTCCCCGTCGAGCGGGTCGGCGAGCGGGCGGCCCAGGCCGGCGTTGCTGACGAAGCCGCACATGTCGGGCCAGCGGTACTGGTCGCTGGTGTTCTGGCAGTCGCGGAGGATGTCGGCGTTGAAGCGCGGCGGCAGGTCGTGCACGTAGACGTACCGGCCCCGGCACGGGTCGGCGCTGGCGCCGTCCAGCACCGTCGCCCTCATTGCCCCGGCGCTGAGCGCGGTGAAGTGGTAGTAGAGGAAGGACGCCCACATGACGGTCGCGAGGACGAAGACGAGCCGCAGCGACTGGAACGCGGCGCTCCCCTGCGTGCTGCTCCTCTTGTCCGGGCCCTTCATCACCCCGTGCTCCCGGCGCGGCCGGCCACCGCTGCCCTTGTGCGCGGATCTGATCAGCTGGCAAACCATCCGCGAATCAGCCAAAAATAGCGAAAATGGCTAAGCAAACACGCACCCCCAGCAGAAGCGAAGGAGCGCAGGCAAAGCATCTACGAGGAGGAAAAAAAGGTAATTAAGCGGCATACTGACATTGGATACAAGCTCACCAGTCGCACGACAGAGCTCGCGGCGCCGATTTGCATGCCGCGGCGTGCAGCAACTATATATAGTACTCCAGAAACGGCAAGCAGATCGATCGACAGGAGGAAGACGAAGACTAGTATAGTTTATACTTATAAACCTAAAAATGGTGTAGATCGACGTCGCCGGGAAGTCGGGGCGATGAACGAGCGACGAGCCGCCGGGAGTGGCGGTGCGAAGGAGTAGACTTCACGCACGGTGGAGTTCGTGGGGGATTAGTTGACTGGGACACTGGGTGGTAGCTAGCCTCGTGGAGCTAGTGGTTGTTTCACTGCTAACCACCGTCTACATCGATCTAATACTACTCCTAGTTGATGGTGTTTTCTACTCACTGGTGCAAATTAATGAGCGCGGTTCGGCGTGCAGCGTTGACACTTGACGCTGGACAGTGGGAATTTTAGTACTAGCGCGCACATTAATTACGTGCTTGCTTGTTTAGGCTGGTCACAATAGACAAGAACATAAGTTAGTAACTTACACACTTTCCTAAACTATATTACTACCTCCGTAGTAGGTAGGAACATCTATATAGTGTCATGCAACAATGTATTTATTAGGTTATAGACTCATTGTTTCTTGGAGTGTGTGATGTTTCGGTAACTTAGCTAGTTACCACAAACACCTCTCTCTTTATTAAATATGTGACACATAAGCAAAATTATATTGAAGTGTGTGTTACTCTTAAGTTCCTCCCCATTGTGATCAGCCTTAGTCATTGCTCTACTGGCCCAAGGAAGAAATTTGCATCCTCCACATGCAAGAAAAGAGAGAGGGGAAGAAATTTGGATCGAGCGTCGGTTGTACACTTGGGCTGTACTGCTCCTGCTTCAGGAGAAGGGAGGTGCGGTGCACGTTTGGTCAACAGAAGCTTGGAGATTAATCAAAGTAAACGCTAATTTCAATCTCCAAGTTTGTATTAATTAACAGTGCTCTGGCAGATCTTGCACCGACGGATCCCGTCGTCGAACCATGGATGGACGGTTCATTGCTGATGGACCACATCCAAGGCATATGAACTCTGACCAATCGGCGCCCGGCTACTAGTTTTTCCTCTTGTTTCAGATCGAGAGCGTCGGTTGCTGGTTAGTTTAAGATGAGACGGAGGCACCTGTCGTTCATTCCTGAGCTCTGTTCGGAATGCAGAGTTTCGAGATTCATACGTGATTCCTTGTCGGTTGCATCGATCAGGAATGACTAAGGGCATCTCCAGCCGTTGGCCTTTTACAAGGGGCAAAAAATCGTTCCCTGAGGACGCACCGGCGCTAAACCACGCACTGAGGGTGTGATGCTTTCCAGTCGCGGTCCCCCACAGGTTTTTAAAATGTTTAAATTTGGCGCAAACACAACGCAAACACGGGCGAGTTCGTTCAAATTTAAACATATTTTACAAAAAAAAGAAAAAAAAACTACCGCGGGCTACCCCCGCCGTCTCCCTCGCCGCCCGCCCACGCGGTTCTACATACCGAGGAGGAGGCGTGTAGAACCGCGTGTAGTCACCGCCGCCGCCGTCGTCGTCGTCGCCCCCAGTTGGCGCGGCGGGTTGGACGGTCCGAGGGCATCGTCGTCGTCGTCGCTGTCGAGGACCACGACGCCGTGCTTGTCCTCGCGCCCACGCTTGCGGGCGGCGATCTCCTCCAGGGCCCGGCGCTGCCGGACCATCTCGTCGTGGAGGTAGTCGTCCCGCGCCCACCGCAGGGCGTCCTCGTCGGAGAAGCCACGCCGGGCTACCTCCTCGTACTCCGCGGGGAGGCCGGGCTCCGGCTTGGGCTCGACGAGGACGAAGCGGCCGGTGGGGGAGGCGTTGTCGCCGATGCGGACGCCGGATCTGCGGGTGCGCGCGCTGACAGGCGTGCCCTGGGGCTCCGGCTTGACGGGGCGGAGATGGAGGCAGGGGGAGCCGCCGGACGAGGAGGAGGATCCCCCGGTCTCCATGCGCCTCGGGGTCCAGGAGCTTCCCCGGCGGCGTGGGAAGGACGGGGGAGCGGGGTACTCGAGGCGCGGCGTGTTGCCGCCCTCGATGTACTCGAGGACGGCCTCCAACGTGCGCCCGGGCACGCCCCACCACCAGGCTCGACGCCGTTGGTGGCCTCGAGCTGCTCGGCGTGACAGCGGCGGAAATAAGGCTCCCAGAGCGGGCTGTCAGGGACGTACCGTGGTCCCTCCCTCGCCGCACGCGGTAGGGACGAACGGATGCGTGCAATCTCCGCACGCCGCGCCGCGCCGGTGGGTATCGGGGGCATCGGCACGCCGCCGGCGCTGATCCTCCACGCCGCGGGCACCCGCATGTCCGGCGGGACCGGGTACTCGGCCTCGAAAAGGAGGCGAGCCTCGTTCTCGTGAAGATGGTGGCGGCCGAAGCCGTTCGCCGCCGCGCCGTCGCCTGGGAAGCGCTCGGCCATGGGTGTGATGAACTGGAGACGGCGAGAGAGAGGAGAGGGAGGAACGATGACAGCGAGAGAGTGCGAGTCGCCGAGTGCGCTGGGGCGCGTCTTATATAGGCCGAGGCGCCGCCCGTGCGCGAGCGCCGTGAGTACGCGTGGCGGGCGAGGGAGGGCGAGGGACACGCGTCATCCGGTCTTCACTGCGCCACCCGTGAGGCATCAATGGCGCAGGCTGACCGGCGCGGCAGCGCGGCAGCTTTGGCATTGATTTGCCGCGGGAAACGAGGCGATGAGGACGACGAAGGGGCGAGAAGAGGGTAGAGTCGCTGACGCGGCGGGCCCGCGGCTGTTTCGCGCCAAAACAGTTCGCCCCGGCGCCCCCGGGTGTCCCCAGCGCGCCGGGTTCGGCCTGGGTCCGCCGGCGCTGTTTTCGGCCCAAGCCGGCGAAAATCGGGCTCCTGGGGGCGCGACTGGGCCGATTTTTCGGCGTCGGCGCAAAAAAAACGCCTGGGGAGGCCTTCCTGGGGGCGCGGCTGGAGATGCCCTAAGGGTCTGTTTGAATCCTTTCGAGCTTCTAACTTCACGAACTCCACGGTTGAATGGTTGGGCTCCAAGAAGCTGGATTCTTTCTCTTTTTTTTAGGGAAAGAAAAGTTGGATTCTTTAAGGTGAGCCCGAATGCGGTGCAAAAAACAAAAGCGATGTCGGCCAAGTTTCACTGAAAAGAAAATATGGAGTTCACCCATATTACGGCAGAATGCCACTGCCAAAGAAAACGGTTCAGCCGCTCCCACCTGAATCGGTATGTTTCTCCAAAGAAAGAGATAAATGAATACCTACATACCCATCTCCTTCAACAGGTCTCCCTCTCATAACCCTACATCCAGGGCATATTTATTCCCAAGGTGTTTTGGTGATTGATGACAATGCATTTGCGGACTATCGTGTGTCTCGAATATTTCAGATGTTTCATGACTAGGCACAAGACGGTTAGGAGCCCCTCGAAAATTATTGAAGAAGGCGTTTTTTACGTTCATTTTTTGGTGGATTTGAGTCGTAGGAAAGCCGTACTATTAAGAAGAGGTCCGCTTTGGAAAGGTTTGGGTGAAATCGTCACGTACACGTTTACTCCTCTTTGCATCGCCTTTCCTTTAGCACTTTGGAGCATCCTTCATTTCTTCTTGTTTGTGCGAAAAGTAGTTTTCCTATCTGTTGCTGTTCTGAGGCTTGCGGTAGTACTGCTCTTCGTAGCGGTAGTACCACAGGCCCCTGCGATAGTACCGCATGCCTTTGCGGTAGTACCGCAGGTGGTCACGGTAGTACCGCTCCTTGGGAGCCATAGTACCGTGAGCCCTGGTCCGGCACAACACCAGTAGCGGAAGTAGGAGCGGATGTAATTTTTTTACATCCGCTCCCCGCGCGGTACTACCGCTTGCCTTCAGCGGAAGTACCGTGTCAGACTTTTGCACTATTTGGTATCTAGCGGAACTAGCCACGGACGTTTATTTGTCCACGGCCTTCCTAGGCCTGGTCCAACTCTGCCTTGCGGTAGTACCGCAAGGGTGTGCGGTAGTACCGTGAGGCCTTGCGGTAGTACCACTTGGCAGGCGCGGTAGTACCGCTTGTCGCGGGCTGGTTAAGTGGATAACGGTTAGATTTCTCTCTCCACTATATAAGGGGTATCTTCTTCTCCGAGTTGACCACCTCTTCCAACCCTAAGCTCCATTGTTGCTCCAAACTCCATTTCCGCCCGATCTCTCTCCCTAGACAACCAAACTTGTTGATTTTCTAGGGATTGGTTGAGAAGGCCTCGATCTACACTTTCACCAAGAGAAATTCGATTCCCCCCACCAATCCCTTGTGGATCTTGTTACTCTTGGGTGTTTGAGCACCCTAGACGGTTGAGGCCACCGCGGAGTCATATTCCATTGTGGTGAAGCTTCATGGTGTTGTTGGGAGCCTCCGATTAAGTTGTGGAGATTGCCTCAACCTTGTTTGTAAAAGTTCCGGTCGCTGCCTCCAAGGGCACCAATAGTGGAATCACAGTATCTCGCATTGTGTGAGGGTGTGGGGAGAATACGATGGCCCTAGTGGCTTCTTCGAGAGCATTGTGCCTCGACACCGCTCCAACGGAGACGTACTTTCCCTCAAAAGGAAGGAACTTCGGTAACACATCCTCGTCTCCATCGGCTCCACTCTTGATTATCTCGTACCTTTACTTGTGCAAGCTTATTTGTGTTATTTTCCTTGCTTGCTTGTGTGCTTGTTGTTGTTGCATCATATAGGTTGCTCACTTAGTTGCATGTCTAGACAACCTACCTTGATGCAAAGTTTAATTTGGTAAAGAAAAGTTAAAAATTGTTAGTTGCCTATTCACCCCCCTCTAGTCAACCATATCGATCCTTTCAATTGGTATCAGAGCCTCGTCTCTTTACTAAGGATTTTGTCATCCGAAGAGTATGGTTGACACCGTAGACGGTGTGGAGGAGCACTCCGGTGTGAATCCGATCTCGTCTACGGGCGATGAGGGAACCTCGGTCTCTCGTGAGGAATTCAATGTGGCCTTGGAGACATTGGGAACCTCCATGACGACCGAGGTTGAAAGCATGTTTACTAAATTCA